GGGGGGGGGGGAAACAAAACAAGAAACAACCTGACAACTCGAATCATCCACGAAAGAAAAAAAAAAAAGAAGAAACGAACCCGCCACGATCCTCAAGAGACTGAACTTCCGGGGCCCAATCCGACTCGTGTCGTCCGTTCGTGTCTCACGCACGAAACGTATACCTCGCGAGGAGCAAAGTTTAAACAAAGAAAGAAAGCAAGCAGGCAAGCACCTTCGACGAGGAGAAGAAAGGAGGAGGGGAAACGAAAAAATCACGGGCGCACGGGTACCTCGAGTAGACGGGGTCAAGCCGGCAAAGAGCAGGGAAAGAATGGCAGCGTTTAAACGGGGCTTAAAGTCATCTCGCGGACGTAATCGGCCCTGTCGATCTTCGGTGATCCTCGCCGATGCCATAATCCCGCGTCTCCATTCAGCGGCTCTCCACACAGCTCGATTGGCATTGATCATTGTGTCTCACACGATCGGCTCATAATAGGCCACGTCGTTTCCATCGTTCCCTGTTGCTGATACGAGAATAAAGACAGTCCCTCTCGGAGTCTTTTCGGCCTCGTTTCTTCTTTCCTTCTCCCCTCGTGATTCCCCCTTCTCTCTTGCTTTCTTTCTCTCTCTCTCTTTCTCTCTTCCTCGTCTTTGTACCTTTCGGTGCGTGAAGTATTTATCGAGTGTGATCGTGTTGGATCTGTCCAGAGAAGAGAGAGAGAGAGAGAGAGTTTCAACGAGAGTGTCGCTGATAAGATCGTGATCGATGGTACAAGGAAGATCGATATTTCGTTCCGTTCGGTTTTTGGACGGAGAAGCGAGGGATTTTCGTGTCTGTTTGTACCTTCTGGTACGATAATTAAATTATTCCTGTATTATATGTGCACTTCTGTTCAAAAATCCGTATTTATTTTTAAATGCAGAAGGAATTTAATAATATTTTACATAACAAGGAATCTTTAAAACATTGGTATATTGACAATTTTAATTGTAAAAATTGTATTATTTACGATATATATTGAATGTTAAAAATAATAAGAAGTATTCTACGATTTTTGAGTGGCGTAAGTAATCTTACCTTGGATCAGTGTAACTTCTCGTTAGAAGTAACTTGTATCATGCAAATGTTGATGAAACAGCTTAACCTATTGAAACACTTTATTCTAATATAACTATCGTGATATAATTATAACTAAACAGTTCCATCGACTAAATTCTTTGACAAGAATACATCGATAAGGTTTCGAGTCATTTTTGGTATGAATCATGAAATTTTACAACTGTCCTTTTATTACTATATTACTCCAACATTACGTGTTCCCTTCAAAAACATTACATATTTTGCGAGTCCAGAGTGCTGTGATTAGAGCACATTTTATCGATTAATTATTAACAAGAGACTTCTGGTGTTGAAAATTGAAGAAAATTGGAGTCTGTCGAGGGAAACTGAAGAAAAACCAAGTCTCCCTCGAGGACTGATCATCCCTCCCCGTCTTTTTCCTTCGAGTCCGAGGAATCTGAGAATGTTGGTTAAGTTTTTTCGAATTAATTAATTGAGTCGCGTCTCCGATTTTCGTCGACAAAGACCTGACAGCGGGAGCTCGATCTCGTTCCGTAGGAGAACAAAGATTTCTATATCTAGGTAATCCCAGCTGCTTTCGATTCACCGTGAAGCGAGCAAAAAAAGGCCAGTGACTCAGCTCCGCAAAGAGAAATCAGGCGACAAATCGATCGGCGGACTTAATCCTACGACGTTTCGTCCGTTTCGCCTCTCAATTCCATTTTCTGTGTCATCTTTACATCAACCTGGATCTATCTAATCATTGCAGTAATCAAAAATCAATATATATATATATATATTCTTCCTTAAAAGTATAACAATATCTAGATAATATAGAATTATCTTCGATTTTTGTTTTCTGCATTTCAATTTTTATTATTATTATTATTATTATTTTTTTAAATAAGATATTAAGATTGTATTTAATTAAATCTTGCGAATCTCACGATAAAAGTTTTTATAAACTTCTCGTTACAATATACACCAATGTGATGAATTTTGATGCATCATTATCGAAAATGTGGAGAAAGCTTGATCAAGATCGTTTTCGACACGTATACATGGTTAGAATAAAACGTACAATTTCAAACTAAAGTAAAGT